TCCCCCCGCCCCCCCCCCCCACCCCCCCCGCCCCCCCCCCGCCCCCCCCCCCCCCCCCCCCCCCACCCCCCCCCCCCCCCCCGCCCCCCCCCCCCCCCCCCCCCCCCCCCCCCCCCCCCCCCCCCCCCCCCGCCCCCCCCCCCGGTAAAATACCGTGCAGTAGACTGCTCCTCCATTGGAATCCATCACGCCACAGATCCAACAGTCTAACAGCAAAAGAATGATCAGGCGCCCAAAGAAGTCTGGAGCAGAGAAGAAAAACCCCCCAAAATAAGACGAGAAGAGCTGAGAAGAGCTGTCGGGGCTATATTTAACCTGTCAATCGCCAAGGAAAGTTCGGGCCGGTAGGAGCCCAATACACCGACTGTGGTACCTGGGCCGCAGGTTCGAGGGGCGACGAAAACAGGAGATTGAATTTTTTTTTTTTCACAGCATGTTGTGTAAAGAAGAAATCTTTTGTGGAATTGAGAGAAGCAAAGGCAATGGGAAAGCAAAGGCCGGGATGCAGGAGAGCTAAGGTCAAAGCTCCCGAGGGGAAGTGGAGTGGTTTCGGGTAAATCAGCGATCCCGCTGGACTTCTCTTTTGGGTACTCCGTATGTTTTCGGTCTTCTCTACAGTTCGTGGACTCAATATCCGATATTCTCTATGCTATTCTACACTTCTATACAAAGCATATATGGAATCCATCTTCTATAAGTGGTCGGTCTGGTCTAAGTGAAACATCGCCTAGCCGCTTTAGCTCGGGTTGCCCCGCAAAACGAAAACGTTGAATATTGGAGTCGTCCGACATATTGCCTATGTTTATCGCGAAAAGGTGACCTGAACACCCGGGTAGGATTCAGCGATGGCCGTCCCGATGTCTGTCTCTTCACCTTGAGCAGCCCATTCAATAGTCTTGACCAAAGCTGCGCCGCTCTCACGCTCAACCGGCGTCCAATGTCCCGTGCGGGGAAGCAGCACAATATGGGATCCCTGCGCTAAGTAATCACCCATCCCATCAAGGCAGATCCTCTGGTCAAGAGCAATATCATCCTTGCCCCAGAAAATGGTTGCGCTAGCTTTGAGAGCGCCCGGGGGACCTTCGTCAAACAGTCCAGCTCCGCTGCTGGACAGTCGCTTTCCGGATGAAATACTGTGTAAGCTAGCGACCGTTTCAATAGACTTGGTCCAAGACGCCGTCGCCGCCCGATCACGGTAATAAGCCGCCATGTGCATGACATGTGCGAACGCGCGCTGGCTGAGGTTGGCAGGATAGGCATCACCGCTGGAAGTTTTAGTATCCGATTCTGCGGTGGACGGACCCATGGTGCTGGCCATACTGTTGGCCACGTCGAGGGAAGTATATTCGTCCTTGTTGTAGGAGGTGAGGTGGCAAATTTTCAATAGTGACTGGTTGCCTCCGGACAGGAGGTAGTAGACAATTGGCGTTGGTAGCTGCATGGCAAAGATATAGCCGGATAGGACAAGCTGGCGGGCGAGAGGGGTGAAGCTTCGGAGTGCTTGCATCAGCGGGACGCGGGCATGCATTGGTGAACGCCAGGCGTTGCCGAGCATCTTATTAGTCGAGAAGAGTAGACGGCGGATATTAGATTCAACCAATTTGATCTGAAACGTTAGTTGAGATAACATCTTCCCCGGTGTTTTGACATACTGATGGTCCATTGGACAGGATGAACCGATGGGCTAGGGACGGAGCTTCGGCAGCGAGACGCATGGACAAGACACAACCCCAATCATGGGCGACAATTATCGTCCTCTTCTTGTTGCTCTCGTTGCCCGAGTCCACGCCATACTGGGTTCGCAGAGTGACGATCAGCTCTGTCAATTTCTCCAAGACATTCGTTGCATTATATTCTTCCAGGCTCTCTGTTCCTCCATATCCCGGGAGGTCAATCGCAACTAGTGAAACGGCCTCTTGCAGAGCAGGGTTTTTGATAATGTGTCGCCAGATCGCCCAGCTATCGGGGAATCCGTGGATGAAGATGACCAATGGTTTATCGGAATTGACGGTTTTCGGTGTGTTTGGAGTATCGTTACTAACAAAATGGAACTTGAATCCGCTTTGCAAGGTTAGAATGTGGTGAGAGAGACCTTCGAAATCTTTAGATAAATCCCACAGGCGAGCACGAGCTGGAGAGTCAGCAAAGAACCTTCACGATTGGTACATACATAGCTCACCAAGCTGTAGGTCTCGTTTCTCGGTTTCAGTGGGGCGTCTAAAGTAGGTGCCTTTCGCTAAGGCAACGAGGTCGTAAAGAATAACTGTAAAGAAGCCATAGGCAAAGACAGCTGCCCCGATCAAAACGCGGGATATGGTCCTGCCCATATTGGAATCATGTGTTGAAGGAGTAAGAAGAAGCTTGTAATAAATCTAGAGCTGTGGCAACCGGAGCTCGGTCCACAGGTAGCGTCACGCCTGAGTCAGCGATATAAAACGGTTGACAGCGGGTACCTACATGTAAATATGTAGGTACGGGGTATCCATAATCTAGATAATTTAGATGATATCAGGATGAAATCTAGGATTGCAATCACATTACACTGTAAATTGTAGGCAGTTTACAGCTTTTCTCAATCTATGGCAGACCGAACGCCACCTCCACATGCACAAATATTATTGGTAGAAGACAGTCCAAGGGAAAGGGGGTATTAACAGGAGTCCAAAAAAAAACAAAAAGCCATCATCTCGTCGAAGGGAATATATACAGATCAAAGAACGAACCCTAGTTGTTCACGGTTGTCGTCTACCAAGCGACCATACCTGAAAAGTGAGCAAGTTAGCAGAATTCTCTCATGGAATGACGAGGTCCTTACTCTAGGAGTAACCGGAAGAACCAAACCTCCAGGTCTTCATTTCGTAGGGTCTGCTGTGCCCAGCGCTGACCCTGATTAGCGATTTGAAGGGCGGCCTTTTTGCCCTCTTCTTCTGAAGTGAAGTATCGCATGCTCTCGACATACTCGTTGCCTTTCAAGCTGAGAGGGACGTAATGTACCCAGGGCTTCAACCACTCGTCATGCCATTCGCGGAAGATGGCGATCTTGTAGACAAAGCTGTTGCTATGCAAGAAAGCGTGGAACCGCCCGCTAAAAGCGTTCCCATCGATATCGACTAGGAACTTGTGCGCCCACGCATCTTGTTGCCCAGCCTGCTTGAACACTCCAAAGTACGCAGTCTGCGCGTTGCAGTCGTCCGGGTCGCACTGGCCGATAAATGTGAACTTGACATCGAAGGAATCACGATAGGCGTCTCGGTTGATAACCTGGGAAACCCAGCTGTCCCCCTGGCGAGCGAGAATTTGAGTGGTGCCTAAGGCGTTGACGTTGTCGACAAATTGCTGCCGATGTTGTCGGCGCCAGCCACCCGCACGCGAAAACCCACCGGTTGTAGAGCCACGCCAGTACATTCGGTCGGTCTTAGCCTCCCAAGCATAGTCCTTTTCAGTATCGTAGGGAACCTTGTCGGCCCAGTACCAAGGACTTGGGTAAATAATGTCCTGGAAGCTAGAGATCTTGCTCTGTGAAAAGACGGGGAACAGATCGTGGACGACATCAAAGGCGTTGGGTCGGTCAAAGAATCCGTATGTATGGCGGAGGGAGGGGGTATTGCAGATGTCAGAGGCCGCCGTGGTGTTGTAGATGAAGCCGAGTTCGCCATAGGCATAGGGATCAACGTCATCAGTGGGATTTTCTTCGAGCGAGCGCGCTGGGCTGTTAACCGGACAAGATACTCGGGAATTTGTCCAGGTCGGTTGGTGTGCGAAACGGTTGAAACGAGTGGTGCGCACCTCGTCGATGCGATCGCCTTTGTTTAGGTCCGAAGCACGTGGGGACCACGCATTGGTCGGAGTGTTCTTGAACGCTGCTGGGATAGTGAAATCCTTGGCTGTCTGCACCAATCGCTGGAGGTCTTCGCTGGGGAGGATTACGCGCGGCTCATCGTGAGTGTTGAACACCAGGTCCATGTCGGGCAAGTATTTCACGAAAGACTTCATCATACCGGCCGTGGCGTCTCGCTGCCACTTACCGGCGTCGCCCCCTCCATCCGTTAAGGACACCTTGCCGTCGCGAATTAGAACACCGATCATCGCATTGTCAAATCCGAGTGTCTCGCGCGCCCGTTCGCGAATCGTTCTAGGTTTCACACCCCAGAAGGGGAGGAGGGTGTGGTAGATGGTATCGAAATCATCGATGAGCTGTACATTTCTCGACTGGGCAAACTCGAACCACTTGTCGAAAAATGGCGGCGGGTGCATATTATAGCGACGCTTGTATTCAGTCACGGCCTCGGCCAGGGTTTTGGATTGCCGGGACTGCGCATGATTGAAATCTTGTTGGGCATTTCCAACCAGACGCGTGATCGGGTGTTCCTTTTCGGGGAGGTATGTGTTCTGCCCCGCATGGAGCTGAGGGTGTTGTATTGGTTCGGGAGGAGGCAAATCTATGGGCTGCGGCTCGGAGTGCTTCGATGATCGTAGTAGTAGGAGAGAAAGACAGGCAAGAACGCCGATCGCAAGTAATACAATCAACCGTTGAATGCGCATGCTGCCATTGGGGGGAGGCATGAAGAAGGAGAGCGAGGCTAAGGTCGTCAGGAGGGTTCTCCATAAGTCTAGAGTTGGCCTCGGGCTATTAGTGAACCTTATCCGCCAAGCCTTTCTAACGTAATCGTCACAATCTAATTAGCTATCTATGTGCTGTTCAAGCGTTCTAAAAGACAAAGGCGATCAGTGATGTTTTAATATGATGTTTTAATTTGTGTGGCCCCAATTCTCCAAGGGGCCAATCTATTAGTATGTGGCGTTGCCCGGATGCAGGGGAGGTACGCCATAATCTATTCATATACGTGTCACCAAATGTGCTTTGACTTCCTCGACCGTACGGAGTACATCGATGTATATCGTGCGACAGAAAACTAAGAATGTCGTTCAGGAATTCATTGGTAGAAACATATTTAGTAGCAAACCTGACCACTATCGAATATATATCAGGGTACACAGTTCATGTACTATATAGTTATACAACATACCGTTGAACTTCCTACTCACTCTTTGTTGTTTCTACTACTAAGGGGGAGAAAAAAGGGGTTAAATTCCATACATGTAGATCGAAGTTGTCTCAGAAAAACAAGATCTAACCAAGTACAAAAAAAAAAGTATTAAAAACTCCTATGGACCTCACTCAGGAATGAGATTCATGCTACACAAGCTCATATATTACATCCATAGAGTAAATATTGAGATCTTGACCAAGGGAATTTTCTTTTTGAAAGGATGTTATATTTTCCCAGCCTACACTAACATAGCGCCCAAGAGCACACCCAATTAAGCATAGAAGCTGCCAAAGTCTGCAGAATGTACTTCTGCGCCTGCTTGACATGAATATAAGCCGCAACACACAATAATACCACCAAAGACACATGACCAAAGTAAAACATCTTTCTGCGTTCTTGGAAGCTTCCCTGCACAAGCCAAGACTGGAGTCCCTTCTGGGAAGCAGGCCGCACGAAGAGAATGAGTAGCACGGCCGAGAATATCGCGGCTAGGCCACATTGGACGTCTAAGTCTTGGATTCGTTTGAGGAGCAATATACCAAAGTCAGGATGGCTGGATTGCACGAAGAACAGCGTGTACAGCGCGGCGTGAGCCAGCAGAAGAGAGACCACCGCCCGACCAAAGAGACGGTGGTACGGAGTCAACGTTGGCTGAGGGATACCAGTAAGAAGAGACAGTACAGATGAGGCTGCCGGCCGAGAGATGTATGCCGGAGACATTAGAACCTGCAGTGGCAGTTGGGACAGGCCAACTCGCCCCAATGCTTTGGTCAAATGGAGGTAATCTTCCATGTTAGCTCGTTGCTCAAACTTACTAGAAGATGAAGACTTACCATCACCACTGTTCCATATGGAAAGGCCTAGAAGCCATAGTAGCCACAGCCCGCAGACAAGGTACTGTCGGGTTTTTCCAGAAACTGGGCCATCCCACTTAGCAGTTGATCTCGTAGCAAAGCGAAAAATTCGAACCGCGACGATGACAACAATGATTGACCATTGTGCGTAATAGCCGCGAAGATCAAGCAGCTCCCTGCGATGCAGCTTGTCGTTTTCCGAGAGAGAAATGAAATGGTATGGCCACGACATGGCGACTGAAGAGTCATATAAATGAGAGTCTCGATAGGATCACAAGCTAATCGACATGCCGATGAGACGCACTGCGGTTTAGAAAAGCATATTTTAGATGTTGATATTGGTCTCCCAAATTTATTTGATATACTGCCAGTGATAACTAAAACAAGCAGTCCGACCATGGACTGGATCCCCGGCCCAGGGGCCGCTTTTTGCTGACAAATGAATCACAAGGTTCAGGTGCTCCCCCGGCGCACTCTAGCCAGGGCCGGCTTAAAGCCCTCTCTTTACCCTCTAATACGCATGTACTAACTGTATTGTAGTAACTAGTGGCTTTACATGCACCGCACGTCTTTATTTGCGCATTTGCTTTTGACTACCTACCCTGGTTAAACGTTATGTGAAAGCTCTACATTAAAAACGCCTGGAAGAAAAGGACGCTTGGTTATTCTCTAACCTGACAAAATGTCTTGTTGGGTATTGGCCGAACAAGTGCATAGTTTAAGGAGAGGTTTGCATCTCATCCTGATTGCCACCAGCAGTTGTAGCAAAGTATCGGACATCCACATCGTCATCCTCCTGCAACTTCTCCAAACTTGGCACAACTCTTGACTGAATCAACTCCAGGCTCCGGGGTGATGGCGCGATAGGCTCTTCGGACTTCTCCACCTCAACTAAGGTCTTATCGGCTGGCAGACGACGCAGTGTGACGATGAGAACGGCGTAGGACTTGGCGACGTTGAAGCGAATATTGGGGATTTCATCCGTCACTAGGCGTTCCAGAATAGGTAGGAGAGAGTTCTCAATAATTTCGAGGTTGACAACGGGAGTAAGGGTCTGACAATTAGCATTGACTGATGTAGCAAGAAAGTGAACTTACAGAAACGGCAAAGCATGTCGTCATGCGGTAAAGATAGTTAGGGTGTTGGCCCATGGCCATCACCTTGGGAATGATAGAAGCTTTTGACCACTCCACGCCGAATACCTCTGTCAGTTTCTTCAGGTTCTCAGTGGCAGCCTCTCGGATGGAAAAGACAGTATCCCCAAGCCAGCCCATGCAAAGATCGCTCAGCTGCTCGTCAAAGAACTCGACTCCAAGTTGACTGGCAAGGAGTGGAATATATTCAATGATGGCAAGGCGAACACGCCATTGCTTATCCTCGGCCAGTTGAACAATGGCGGGAAGAAGAGACTGGGAGAGAAGCTGGATACCAATGACTGTAAAGGGTTAGAAGACATACATTTTAAAAGAATTGGACAGCATTTACCTTTGTTGACTTGCTCGAGCTTCGAGATAATGTGCAGTCGGACGTCGGGGAATTCATCCTTAAGCATCTGGAGAAACATGGGGAGTAGATGGGCAATAGTCCTGGATGGTCAGTATAGGTTATTGCTAGCAGATAAGCAGGATACTTACTCCTCCTTGCCCAAAATAGGCGCGAGGCCGCTGATCTGAGTACCGAGGGCAGCCCGGACGTGCTGAGAGGGATCGGAGACAAGGTCTTCAACGCTGGTCATGATCTCATTGAGGAGAGTGTCGCGATCGATCAAATTGCAGAAGCCTGAATGTGTTAGTCATGTATCAACTATATATAACCAGGGTATCATACCAGGGATTTGGCCCGCAATTGCGGTGCGAACCTCGGCCTCTGTATCTTTGAGGAGCTTGACAAAGGCAGGAACCATGTCACGGGTGACAACCTCTTCGTGGACAGCTTTGGCAATCTGCATACATCAGTGTCGCTCAATAGTCTGAAATTCGGCAAAGGCGATTTACCTTTTCATATCGATCGGCAACCATGTATCGGACCCTCCAGCTCTTGTCTTCGAACAGATTCCGCAGCGAAGTCAACAAGACGCCGTGGCTAGGTTGTTGTTCTTTGGGAATTTCCTCCGCGATCGCAATAAGAATGTCAACTGTAAGCAGACGAACACTGTCCTGATCATCGCTCGCCAAGTATTGAAACAAGGGAATTATTTCATCAATAATGACCTGGGTTTGCATTTCTTTGACAAACTTGGCCAGATTGTTGGCTGCCTGTCGCCGCACCATTGGGGTTTCATCGTGTACCAAAGCCCCGAAATGCTGTCGGAGGCTCTGTTGCAACGCCGGAGTAGCCTTCTTGTATGGTGTGGAGTAAAGACCAGTCGCAGAGACCTTCGAAGTGAACCAGTCTGCCTTTGAGAGACGGAGGACTAGCGGAACAAAATACTCTTCAACTTGGCTCTCTGAAAGCTGTTCGCATACCTTGTTGAGAGATTCAACGGCCTGTAAAGTTAGCATGCGCCTCAAGAAACTTTCAGCTGGTGTGGTACCTTCTCTCGCACCAAGGGCTCCTCGATAGCCGCCAAATTCTCTAGCGGGGAGAGCAAGACGTGCGCGTGTTCTGGACCCCCAACATATTCTGTAAAATTACCCAGCTCTTCACTCAGCGCAGTCAAAACTTCGTCCTCGTCCTCGACGGAATCTATTACTGTTAGACGGGGCTGCTAGGCGATTGAACACTGGACAAACCATCAAGAAATGGGATGAGCTCCTCTCGGGTTCGGTCGGGTCCAAGTGCAAGCGCGATCGTGGATAGACGGTGAATGGCATTGAGTCTGAGAAGCACATCGTCATGCTAAAGAAATGTGAGCTCAATACTGTCTGTATGACTGGAGGGAGATCTACCTTCAACTCGTCAATGAGCACGGCGATGGGGTAGAGCTCATCGTTCTCGTTCTGGCCTTCCATTGTGGATTTGGATATGTATTAAGGAGACACGCTGAGTCCCGGTCCTGGATGAGAAGAGGGTGGTGTTGGACCTGACAGCGATTCGGCAGAGGTGGTGTAGGAGGCAATGGGATGGCTGATAAGTATTAGTTCCGACTTCGCGAGATGGCAAGGGGATGAATGGTGGTAGCGTGAGGGCGGGGGTTTGGGGCCGCATGGACACCTTCAGCAGAAGCATACCTCGAGAATTGAATGAGTACCTTGATCAGCAAATTAATAGATTTGATACAAGTTCGTAAAGAGAAAAGGAAAAAAGCCCCCTTCGATGATGCAGCAACCAGAGCAGGGCAGTCGAGCTTTGAGTGTTTACTGGTGTAAATTACATACTGGCGGTGTACGCACAAACATTTGAATATGGAGGGGAATTACTATACCAATACCATCGTCACAAAAGAGGGGGATCTGTGGCGGTGGTGGCTTGCGGGCAGAATTTCCACCAGCGCAAGAGTCATCCAATACTTTGTGCACCGATCACTACTTCCTGGATTTCTGTACGGGCTTTCCTTATATTCTGTCGGAGTCGCCGCCTACTTGGTTTCCGCATTGATTTATCGGACATTTCGCTGATTGACACCAGAATCAGCAACCCCCACCATGCCCACCATCTCGGTCGACAAGGCCGCTCTTTTCCAAGAGTTGGGCCGAGAGTACGTCTCTGGACTTTGTCATTGAACTCTACTGACCTTGCTGCAGTTACACCACGGAGGAGTTTGATGAGCTGTGTTTCGAATTTGGTAGGTTGGCTGGGAAATTCTTGCCGGGCATGACTGACTTTGAATAGGAATCGAGCTCGACGAAGATGTACATTCTCCAAGACCCGACCACACATAGCCAATACTGATCTTTTCAGACTACAAACTCAGACCGCCCTATCGTCGATGGAAAGCAAGAACCTCCGCAACTCAAGATTGAGATCCCCGCCAACCGGTACGCGTGACATCCGAGGAGAACAAATGAAAGAACTTAGACTAAGAAGAGATCAGATATGACTTGCTGTGCTTCGAGGGCATTGCGCTCATGTTGAACATCTTCCTGGGTCAGAAACCCCTGCCCGAGTACAAGTTGACTCAGCCAGCACAGATGGAGCGGATTATTGTCAAGGAAGATGTTAGTACTTCAACACCTACTCTGCTCAGGTGGAAGGGCTCCGCTGACCAAAATAGACCACGAAAATCAGACCCTACGTAGCTGGCGCTATTCTACGGAACATCAAGTTCGACCAGGCTCGTTATGCGTCTTTCATTGCTCTCCAAGACAAGCTCCACCAGAACTTGGCCCGGCAACGAACCCTTGTATCAATCGGTACCCATGATTTGGACACCGTGAAGGGCCCCTTCACTTATGAGGCTCTCCCTCCCAAGGATATCAAGTTTGTCCCATTGAACCAGACCCAGGAGATGGATGGCGAGGAATTGATGAACTTCTACGAGAAGCACCAACAGTTGGGCAAGTACCTACACATCATTCGTGACTCTCCAGTCTATCCAGTCATCTACGACTCCGACCGGACTGTTTGCTCTCTGCCACCCATTATCAACGGCGATCACTCGAAGATCAACCTGAACACCACCAATGTTTTAATTGAGATCACAGCTCTCGATAAGACAAAGCTGGATATTGTGAACAAGATGATGGTCACCATGTTCTCCCAATATACGTTGGAGCCGTTCACCATCGAGCCTGTCCAGATTGTGTCTGAGCATAACGGGGAGACTCGCGTCACCCCTGACATCTCTCCCCGCATCGCTCAGGCTGAAGTCTCGTACATCAACCAGTGCTGTGGCTTGAGCCTCAGTTCGGCAGAGATCTGTACTCTTCTCACAAAGATGGCCTTCCGCGCCAAGCCTTCTACCACTGTCTCAGACATCATCAATGTGGAAATCCCCCCAACCCGTGCCGATGTACTCCACCAGTGTGATATCATGGAGGATGTGGCCATTGCCTACGGTTTCAACTCGCTGCCCCGTGCGTTCCCCAACATCTCTGGCACAGTCGCCCAACCTCTCCCTATCAACAAGCTTTCCGACATTGTTCGTGTGGAGACTGCCATGGCCGGTTGGTCAGAGGTGTTACCGTTGATTCTGTGCTCGCATGATGAGAACTTTGGCTGGCTGAACCGCAAGGATGACGGAAACACCGCTGTCAAGCTGGCTAACCCCAAGACCCTTGAGTTCCAGGTGGTCCGTACCAGCCTGCTCCCGGGTCTGCTCAAGACCATCCGTGAGAACAAGCACCACTCTGT